CCTTGATTGGAAGTGGAGTGTGAGGAAGAAGGAGGTGCTAAGGATGCCTTAGACAAGGTTTCTGGAGGACCAGCAGGACAGTTGTCATTATGCTGATCTTTCAAAGGCATTACAACCCCATGGGGTAATTAACTTAGTGAGCTATACACAAAGCCCACTTCTGCTGAATAGATAGTGCTTATGGGTAGAAAATGAAAAACAAAAATGCCCCCCGCCCCCAACACTAGTGAAGACCTATCTCTGAACATATTTTCAGGGCAGTCAGCTGAAAATTAGCCCTTAGAACACACTTAAAATCTTGAAACCAAGTAGTTCTAGTGCTATTTACTAGGAATGCAGTGTGGTTTTCTTTAATTTTCAGAATTTAAAAATGCTTTTGTATACCAAGCAATATATTATTAAGTTTGGAGCAAAGAAAACAAACCCAAAAAACTGGGGAAAACAAACACCGCAAAAACTGTGGGAAGGATTTTGCCATTTTTTTCCCCAGAACATTTTCTTGCTTTGGCCAGTGGAAGTAGATATGTTTCTATCTATATTTTCTTGCAGTTATGAAATCTGTTCCTTTCTACTCCTGCTGCAGTAAGTTGAATAGTATCCACCGAAAATTCATGTCAACTTGGAACTTCAAAATATGACCTTATTTGGAAACAAAGCCTTTGAAGATGTACTTAGTTGAAGATCTCAAGATGGAATCATCCTGGATTTAGGGTGGGCCCTAAATCCAATGACTGGTGTTCTTACAAGAAGAAGAGAGGACACAGTGATACAAGGAGGAATACCATGTGAAGACAGAGGCAGACATTAGAGTTATTTACACAGCCACAAGCCAAGGCCTGGGGCCACTTCCCAGGCTGGAAGAGGCAAGGAAGGTTTCTTCCCTACAGACTTCAAAAGGAGCATGGCCCTGCTGACACCTTGATTTCAGACTTCTGGCCTCCAGGACTATGAGAGAATAAATTCCTGTTGTTTTAAGACACCAAGTTTGTGATAATTTGTTATGGTAGCCCTAGAAACTAATACACCCACTAAATAAATGTTGAACAAATGGTTTGCTATTGTCTGTGTTTTGTTCCAACCCTGTTCCCTGGTTTCTGGCAGAGCAATAGTGAATATGTGATACACTTTTCATTAGGAAACACAATCTGGGAGGAGATTTGGGTGGGAAACTGAGTTCAGACTTAGACATGTTGAGTTTCAGTTGTCTGTGCCACATCTAAGTGGAAATGTTGAACTGTCAATGGGATATTTTGTTCTGGATTTCTGCATCTGGGTTTGGACTGGGTATATATGTTGAAAGTTGTCTGTGTAGAAGTGGTACACGAGCCACAGGAATGGTTGAGATTGCCTGTGAAGTGAGTTCTATGAAAGAGAAAAGAGAAGCAGTTCAAACAGTTCCCCAAGGAGTTCCATCATTTAAACATGGGATAGAGGAGGAAGAGATGCTAAAGGAGATTGGAAGGAAATAATAGAGAAGACAGAGAAAAGACAGGGAAGTGGGTGGTGTTATCAAGCAGGGGAGGAGGCTACTTCGAGAATTAGGGAGTGGTCCCCATGCTGAATGCTGAAATGATGTCAAATAAGATACAGATTAAAACTGGCCGTTAGTGTTAGCAACACAAAGGGCATTGGTAACTTCAGCAAGAGTAGTTTAGGCAGAGCAGCATTCAGATTGAAGCAGTTTGAGAGGTACATACATATTTGAAATATTTTAATACATTTTTCAAAAGGAAGAAAGGAATTCTAGACAGCAAGTTTCTCAAAGTTTGGCTGTGAAGGAGAGTAGAATAAGAGAATGGTGTGTGTGTGTGTGTGTGTGTGTGTGTGTGTGTGTGTGTGTGCGCACGCGCACATGTGTGTTATGATAGAAAGGACTTAGGCATGTTTAAATGCTGTTGAAAGGGAAAATTGAGAGGAAGAAGTGGTACAAGGGGGTGAATTTGAGGATACAGTGAGGGGGGAGAGGAAATAATCAATAGTACAAAGTTCTACAGAAGGTGGTTGGAGATGGGATTCACAAGACACAATGAGGAATTTGGCCTTAGACAGGAGGGAAATTTCCTCCGCTGTGACAGCAGGAAGTTAATGACAGGTGACAGCTATGGCTGAACAGGTAGTGGACTCTGCAGGGGAAGGTCCAGGCTGTGAATTATCATCTAATGTGTATATTTTCCCAGAAAGTTAAAAGGCCATGCATTAATTTTTTTCTAGTTCATACTCTATGCTATACTGAAATCCTCTTCTCTGCCTACAGTTAATTCAAATAAGTGATATTTTAGGGTAGCGATTTCTCTAAAACTTCAGGCCACATAACTTTGTATTTGGCTACAGTGTCATGGCACTGTGCTATTTTTATCAAATAAAACATCTTACAATTATTTTGGGTTATTAATATATCCAGAAAACAGCACACATATCCATAGAAATAAAATCTTTTTGCACATTCCTGAGAGAGAAAAATTATAATGCTTTCCTAAAGGAAAAAATATGGTATATTCATGAAAAAAATTGTTTTGAGGATTTCCTAGTTGATTCAACCAAGTTTTTTAAAACGTAAGAAGTCTTATAATAGCATAACTGCTGTTTTATGATTATGCCCAAAGTAAATTGAGTAAATATTGGAATGTGGGACTGTTCATGCAATTACACACAGTAAAAGCAAGTAGAATTACCGATATGCAGTTCAGTGATTAGGTAAGTGGATAGGTAGTGAAGCTACTATCCTACTGCTCCTGTTACCAGGCACATGATAAGCTGAATATAGCAGCTGGCTATTGATTTAACCTTTGAGTTTTCTCGCTCCTGGCATGTAAGAATTCTAGTATCATGCCTGAGCAACACTGAATAATAAGCCAGATACTGTTTTGAAAATGTGTGTGGTCCTGTGCATACACTTTTTTTTTTTGATGAACTATTTTTCTTCTTAACTTAATCCTGTTAGTCCCTTATTAAATTTCTTGCAGCATATTCACCCTCAGGAATGGCAAGAAGCATAGAGCATTTCCTCTCCCCACAGCCCACCCCCAGCCTGTTTTCTTTGACTTAGCAATTGTTGTGTGATAATGATGTGGTAGAAATAATGGCATGCTTGGAAATTAAGATTTAACTACTAATGAATGTTAATCACTATTTTAATCTAGTACTTTGATTTTGCTCACACACGTTAGCCTTCTGATCTCTGGTTAATAAGCTGTTCTATTTGAGTATATTACTGTTAAAGTTAGGGGAACGGACATTATATCATTGAAGATAAGTACATTTTGCCACATTTTATCTATTGCTTTATAAATGAAATAGGTACAGCAAGTAACATAATTCATTACTTCAGTAATTTATTCATAGGGTAATTGTTTGGCTATTAATGTAATAGTAATAAAGGTTTTCTTTTAAAACCCAAGTACTGTTAATTGAAAAATATTCTAGATTTCATCAGTCTTCTGATGATAACAAAATTACTTTTCACTTAAATTTTGAAAAGTAGTACTCCATTTGTATACAGTTTTTTTTTTTGAGTTTCTGAATTTTAGTTGTGGACTTAGAATTCAAAAATTTTAAATTGTCATTTAGAGAATGTTGGGTTTCATTGTTGAAACAAGGGGGTTAAAAATGGCGATACAGAGAATATTATAAATTTAAATTTTCAAAATCGGCAAACTGGGTTCTTATAAGCCCCTAAAAATGTTTATGGAAACAAACTGGAATAAGAGTTCGGAGAACAAGGGTATAGGATTATATTCAAGTGACTGCAAGATCTTCGGCAAATCACTTAATGTCTCTAAGCTTCTGTTTCCCTGACCATAAAATGGGAGTATCAGACTAGATGTTCCTTCTCATGTTCTTCCTAGCTCTAACATTCCCAGAACAACCACACTTTATGCGTCAGAGAATAATAACTATAAATAATGATTTATTTCTTCCAGAATAAAAGAACACACACTAAATTACTACATTACAAAATATGGAGGAGTGTAGCATAATAAAAAAAGGACAGGGAGTGATTCAGACTGGGGCTCAAATCCTAGCTTCACCATTCCTGGCCTTGAGTAGTTTATGTAATACCCTCCGCTGGTTTCCTCACCTCTAAAATAGGAGTGACAGCTCCTTGACAGGGCTATGATAGCAAATAACCAAATAAATGTAGAGAGCTTAGCATAGTGCTGGGCACAGTAAGTGCTCAATAGAGGCTAGTTATTGTTTTTGTCATTTTTATCATAAAGCATTGCTATGACGATAAAGGTATCTAATACAATTTAGGTGCTCGACAGGTTATACATATCATTGACTCCTTTTAAAATTTAAGGAAAAGTACAAAATTTATATGTAATAGGAGTATAAGACCAGTCACATAGTATAAGAAAGAAGCATTAAAAATGGCCAGAAAAGTTCCCAAATCATGAGAATGAAGCCAGGAGTTTCTCAATAAGGTCAATAATCCCATACTGGGGAAGTGGGATAATGATGTTGACTCATAGTAGAAACCCAATGTGGTTAGCATTAAGAAATATACCAACATCTAAAAAAAAAACAAAAACAAAAACACCTCCAACAGATAGAAAACCAATGAACTCAAAAGCGAAAATCAGCCAGGTAGGAAGGCTTGTGGAGGAAAATCACTGGAATGAGAATTCTTTCTTGTGTCCAGGCATGAGCAAGATGCTGTGCAGAGTTCTCATTAATAGACCTGCCATAAACTTTTCTGACCTCCTTTGGCTGCTTTTCTCAGCATATTTTTGACACAGAAGAGCACTGGACTTGTGATCAGAATGCTCACTCCGATGAGCAGTAGAAATGTGACTGTGGAGGAGTTTCTTAGCCCCTCAGAGTCTGTTTTCTCCCATCTAGGGAGTGCACTGTAAAGAAAGAAAGATGCAGTGTAGGCTGCTCCTAGGTAATTCATATTTCAAAGGATGTACCCCTTTATTTTCAAATTAAAGTTTTAGAGTTGAACATTCCAATCATCTATTTGCTTGAAATAAGCCCCTTTCAAAGTGTTACCCCACCTATTTCTGAGAGTTCCTCAGGGATCTTGTGATCTCTGGCAGAATCTTTTCTTGCTGTTCTGATCTCTTTTTTTTTTTCCATTTCACTCTTGATTCTGTAGTTAACAATTACAGAAGTAGCCATTTGGGACAACTGTACTCTACTGGCATTTCTGCTCTTAAAACCAGGCAAAAGCACTTGCTCTGACCTTCCCCCAGTCCCTACATGGAGTAGGGAATCCACTGGGCCTACTCCCTGCTTCTAGACCATGCTCTGGGTACCCAGGACTCTAGAATCTCCTGTCTAAAGGGACTTCAGGATTCTTCGCTGGGTGAAAGCATGCCAGTGTGCAATCCTCAAGGCACAGCTAAAGGTGACTGTTTGCTTTGTGGGAGGGTGTGTGGAGCTTGGAAGCATAGCCTGGGATATCCACACACAGTGAGCAAGGCCCCTCCCCATACAGGACAGAATGAGTATGGGAAGAGAAGGCTATGGGTAATAGGCAGGGGAGCGAGGGGAGGGCAGAGAATTCTGTATTTGAACTGGCCTTCAGGTCATTATGAAGAGAGATTTGACAGGGTAGGAGGGTGAGGCACATTCTAGACAATTAGGTAGCTCGATGTATATAACATTTAAACATTTGGGCACAGGTGTGAAGTATCCTTTGTACTGCTGCCCAGGCCTGTGGATGTTGGGGTAGGCCTGTCTGAGCAGAAGTGATCACTACTGATACCTCCTCTTCAGCACTAGGTAGGGCTCTGCCCTTTCTAATGCCCCTTAGCACAGGTGACACCACTCTGGGTTTAATTCTACCTCCTGGAAAACCTGGAAAAAACAGGAGTGTAATGTAGAACAACCAGCTATTATCAGTGATGATTACTTTTAGGACCCACAGATCCAATTAGACCACAGAGTGCCTGACTTGCTCCCACAGCTTCTGGTATTGTGGAGACCAGCTCAGCCCCACAAATGGGAGTTTCCAGACGCCTCCAAACTCTAGTCTAGGCCCAATTCTTTATTGTTGTTCCTGTTTTAAATGAAGTCGTACTTGTTTTATTGATGCCAAAATGACTGACAGTGGTACTATCTGTTTCCTTCAGATGAGATTCCACTTCCTCCTTAGCCCCTGCTTGTGTGTAACATGACCACAGTGGCCTAGAAGAGATGATAGCACTTGCTGCCCCTGTTTCTCAAACTCTTGATTGCTCTATCTTAAATAGCATATGTTTGGGTTACTAACAGTTCAGCCCAGGCAGCAGAGCACAAGCCCCAACCAATTCCCTGTCACAGCTTCACCTGCAGTGGGAGGTGGAGGAAGGATGAGACTGCTCAGACCCCTCTGTCATGGTCTGGCCTCAACTCCCAGAATCCTGTGAACAACTAACTGGACAAGGAAAGATGCAAACCTTCCAAGAACAAGGTGTTCTTGCCCAAAATACAGTCTAAATCAAGACCAGGGCAGACGGGAATTCTCTAAATCCCCAGGGCAAAGTCTGGCTAATATTCCCAATTATAGAATTAAATATAACTCAACACATCAGTCTGAAGTATCAGCGCTTGGGTTAAATTTTTATAATCCAGAGATTTCTGAAAATATGGTCTCCATCTATATCTATACCTGCAATATTTAAAAGGCTCACAAAAGTCAATTCTCCCAGAGCAAAGTGAGGTATAAACTATTCACTACCCATCCCTGCTTGGCAGTTTTCAATCTTCAGAATTATTGGAATCAAATCTCTACCACACGTAATTAAATACATGTCCTACCAAAGACAACAGTGTTTATTACTAAGGTGCATAATATCTATATGATGAACTATTGTGAAGATTGAAAGCACAAAGGCTGCTGTGCAAGAGCAGCACAGTAGCACCAGTAAATGCTATGAAGCAGGAGCAGCTCAGCAGCATTGCTGTTACACGACATGGAAGTATCCAAAGCAGATTGCAAACCCTAAAATGATAATCCAAAGGGTAGGTCATTCTGTTACCTTTCCCTTCCTTACTGAGGCTAGCTGTTATAGTGAACATATCTGTATTCAGTTCGACAGTGTTTTATTGGGTGTCTTCTAAGTACAAGTCAGGATGATGGACATTGAAAGTCAAACTACATTCCTTTAGCTCAAAGCAACATTTTCAACTCCCACTGCTCAGCTGTGTTTATACTCACCCTAGAAAACCTGTAAGAGCTCTGCTGCCACTGAGCACCAAGGATTTCTTTTGTTTTTCTCCATTTTCCTTCTTAACCATTTTATATGACCAGGGAGAAAGAATGTTAGGATCTCCCTTCATCTAACGAATGAATCATTTTGTTTTGTTTTGTTGGTACGAACACTATGTGTAAGATCCAGCTGTAATGGAAAAGACCAGATTCTAGAATCAGCAAAACTGCTTTCAAACTCTTAATGGTTATTTGACATCATCAGAATTGATGATGTCAAACTAGAACTAGAACTCGTCACTGTCATCTTCTCCATCCGTAGACTCTGTGCTTACTTCTTCGTAATCCTTCTCCAGAGCAGCCAGGTCCTCTCGAGCCTCAGTGAACTCCCCTTCCTCCATGCCCTTGCCCACGTACCAGTGCATAAATGCCCGCTTGGCAAACATCAGGTCGAACTTGTGGTGGAGGCAGGCCCAGGCCTCAGCGATGGCTGTGGTATTGCTTAGCATGCAGACTGCCCTCTGCACCTTGGCTAGGTCACCCCCAGGCACCACTGTGGGGCGCTGGTAGTTGATGCCAACCTTGAAACCTGTGGGACACCAGTCCACAAACTGGATGCTGCACTTGGTCTTGATAGTAGCGATGGCAGCGTTCACATCCTTGGGCACCACTTCTCCACGGTAGAGCACGCAGCAGGCCATGTACTTGCCATGGTGAGGGTCACACTTGACCATCTGATTGGAAGGTTCAAAGCAGGCATTGGTGATCTCTGCCACTGAGAGCTGCTCGTGGTAGGCCTTTTCAGCTGAGACGATGGGTGAGTAAGTCACCAGCGGAAAGTAGATACGGGGGTAGGGCACCAGATTTGTCTGGAACTCCGTGAGGTCCACATTGAGGGCGCCATCAAAATGCAGCGAGGCGGTGATGGAGGACACAATCTGGTCGATGAGCCAGTTGAGGTTCGTGTAGGTAGGGCGCTCGATGTCCAGGTTGCGGTGGCAGACTTTGATCATATGTCAAATTAGATTAATAATAGTACCTATCCAGTGGGAGGGAAGTGAGGATTAAGCGGGATATAAAGCACTTAGTATAGTAGATTAGTAAAAACCAATCATTTTTAAATAGTAAATATATTATTTCTGAACTAGCTACTTAAGAAGATACACAGGTCATAAATAAAAACCTCTACAGTCAAGTGTAGAATCCTTCTAAATGGAATAACCTATACACAATAATGTCGTTTACCATAAGAGACATGGAGAGACTCTTTGTTATCAGAATCCCATCTATGCAAAATGTATTTGAGAGATGGGAAGTGAAAAACGAACCAGTGCAGCTAAATTAGGTACCATGAAATGTATACATACGTGTAAAGTAATGAGTACAAATCAGTAGCTCATGTGTAATTGACAATAGAAAATTTTTTTGTAGTAATCTACAAGAATAATCATGATTTTTCCCCTGTAGCACTATTATTGATCTTTCGCAGACAGCGTTTTATTATCTATGCTCATGTGCAACAGGCAGGGCTTTCCCAACTTGGTCCTATTCTAGAGGTTATATTCCAGAAGTTCACTCCTGCAGTCAGCAAGTAGGACATACACACAGAAATAACACAGATTTCCAGGCCACACAGAACAGTCATTCCCAGATAAGCACTAACTCCCCACCCACATTCAGTAGAGAACACTGAAGGAAAGCAAACTTCTTCCTGGTCAGACACCTTTTAAAGCATAACACTGAGCAGTTATAGACTCAGAGATAATGTCCTGAAAAACATCAGTAAGTGTTGTGATAGAAGGAAATACTGTGACTTAATACACATAAAGAATTTAGAAGATTTCTGCAAATGTGGCAACTCCTTAAGGAAAGTTACCTTTTATTACTGTCTTTCCTGGCAAATAACAACTTGGATACACAAAAGAGTTATAATAGAACCTGGACAGTTTCTAATAGTAGAACAATTGGAAACTTAGAAATTTAGACCCAAAAAGCACCGGAGTATGTTTTATTTGTTCAAAAGAATTAATTCCTTAGTAGGTAAGGGAACTCATAATCCTCTTGAAAACTTTTTGCAGTTGATTTCACATTTAGGTTAACTCTGTGGTAATGTGCATACATAGTTAGTTATTCTGTAGTTTTAAATTTGTCATACTCATGTTCCAACCTAAAACCTGCCAGGTATTATTACACCTGATAGTATCTGCATGTACTATAGCTGTTAAAGTTCTAGGGCCCACCCAGAGTGGGCTGATCAGATAAGCATGTCACCTCACAGGAAGATGCCTTATGATGTTTATTGGGGCATGCCATGCTATGTTGTAGGCTTTACTCAAAGATGGGACCTTCTCAGTCCTTATTCAAAGCCCATTTACTCTTCTTTTTTCTAATTCAATAACAGCGATTTATTGAATTTCAGGTATTGACAAGGCCATAAATATTAATATGTGTCTGGCCAGGCAGAGCAAGATAAACACCATACTCTTTTTTTTTTTTTTTTTTTTTTTTTTGAGACAGAGTCTCACTCTGTTGCCCTGGCTAGAGTGAGTGCCGTGGCGTTAGCCTAGCTCACAGCAACCTCAAACTCCTGGGCTCAGGTGATCCTCCTGCCCCAGCCTCCCGAGTAGCTGGACTACAGGCACGCGCCACCATGCCCGGCTAATTTTTTCTATATATTTTTAGTTGTTCGATTAATTTCATTCTATTTTTAGTAGAGACGGGGTCTTGCTCTTGCTCAGGCTGGTCTCAAACTCCTGAGCTCAAACAATCCGCCCACCTCTGCCTCCCAGAGTGCTAGGATTACAGGCGTGAGCCACCGCGCCCGGTCACACCATACTCTTAAACGAAATGACTAATGTGGTCAGGGGAACAGTGAACGCTTTCAAGCCCCTGAACTAAGACCTATGCTTCAAGTTCTACATGAGACTGAAAAAAGAGAAAAATTGCCCAGATTTCAAGTTGCATCAACAACAGTTTTATTTTTAGGATCTTGAATATATCATCCTTAGGTTTGTAGATTGCTCTGTGTAAGGGGGAGATGCTGCTTTCCTGTTGTCTTGTCATTTGACTGACTTGAACTTTTGAAAGCGCTCTCATATATGTTCTCTGCTAGCACATTGATTTTGAAGACTTTTTATAAAAAGTTAGTGACTCACAGGGCAATCTGTGCAACTTAAACACAATGGCGACCTGTGCAGGTGGTTGCTATGTGTCACATACTGTGCCTGCTGTGTATATTTTTTCTAATTAGTCATACATCCTGAAGCAGTTAAGGATGTCTGTGGTGAGAAATATGAATTATACCAGGACTGCTTTTAGCCTGACCTATGGTGAACTTGAATGAGTAAAACACTCCCTGGAGAGAAAATTGCTCACTGTAGAAAGGAGGTGTACTCACTTCTTTCAAGGCAACAGGATACATTTAACAGCAAGGAAAAGGGAGTTTATCAAATACATCCTTTGGTGGTTTGTTGTTTTTCAGGCTCAATTTCTTGGCTTCTAAGATCTGTCTCTTAGAAAAGAGAGTAGTTCCAAAGCTAAAACTAGTCAAGAATCATATTCTTTCATAAAGTCTTCCTGGTGAAGGGATGAAAAGAAATTTAATTTAGGTTAGCAGTCTAGGATGATTTTTAGATAAACTACGAAGCCACCAATTTGTATTTAATTTGTCCTGATAAAATTTAATTACTCTCAAACAAAGCAAATTCTTCCTAATTAGACTTGATATGAAAAAATTGAAACACAGCAGATTAACAAGGAAAACTGATCTTTAGATAATAAAAGTGAGAGAAAGTACATGTTGAACTTAAGGAGTGGTCTGGAAAGGGTACAAACAACTAAATGAGACATTCAGCGTAGTCATGGTAGGAGGAAAGGAAGCCAAAGAAAAGAATACTGTGTTAATGAGCCTCTGTCAGTGTTTGAGACTCTAGAGGAAAGTAAAAAATAAAATGAGAGAGTTCTATGGAACTCTAGGTTATCTGCAATCACCCCATTATATAAAAGACGAAGAAAGTGAGGCCTCACATACTAAAGTGACTTGTCCAAGGACACAAAGCAAGATGATGTTGTTACTAAGGCATATGTCAGACCCCTCCTTACTGTCAGGTAACGTATAGTATCGTGTCATATTGTATCGTATAGTATAATGGAAACCATCTTTTTACTTGGATGTTGAAGGAGGAAGTTTCTAACATATTTATGATCATAGGTAGACTGCCAATAAAATAACTTGCTAAATATACATAACA